TTAAAATTAGTTTTTTTTCTAGAATAAAACTATTAGCTTCTTTTACATTTTTTTAAGTTTTTTTTTTTTAAAAAAAAGTTTTATATTTTTATTTTTTTACATGTTCCTTTTATTATTATTTCAATGTTTTAATACTAGAATTATTAAATTTCGGTGTTGAGATTTTTAGTTTATAAAATTAGTTTATTTAAATTTCAGTTTACTGCAGCAGTCTGCAGATGTTAAAAAACAAACATACTTCTTATTATAGGCTGCAGCCGTTTGTTTCACCTCTTCTGCTACAAAGGATTGCAGAGGTGGTCCGCAGACTTCATGAATTTTCGCTTCGAAAAAACAAACAGCACCTAAAACTTTATTAACTTGAAAGGAAAATTACAAGACACATAAAATTACGAAACATGAAAATTATAACTACAAAACATATAAATTAAAAATACAAATCATAGAAACTAAAGCTACGACACATAGATACACCTACATATTATATTTTTTTGTGATCTCGTCTTTGGCCTCTAACACTAATTCTCTTTCATGTCCCGTAAGATGACTAGTATTTTTCGTTAATGTCGCCATGTCATGAGATTTTTCCTTCTCTTTTGCGACACTCAAGAATTGTTCCAAATTAGCCTAAGTTGTCAATCTCGCTTGTCATTTGCTCCATGTCACTTGAACTACTTACGACCCATTTACTCTGTCGCTTAGCTTCGTCTCTTCCCATGAGACGATTAGCTCTTGGAACCTCAATCCCGACATGCGCATCTGACGATTGACTATGAATGGTTTCAGGTGTTTTTATTCTTTTAGAAGAACTACACGTGAACGATTTTGAAGTTTGGATATCTTGCCACTTTTTCGATGCCTTCACAACATTCCAAACATGAAGAAATTTGAAAGGTGTCCCCTTATCACTCCGCTAAAGTGCTAGAACTTTTTGAAAGTTTGTTTCATTGTTTGCACCACTTTGTCATTGCCGCGTTAAACTCTATGACAACTTTGTTAGTGTTCCTCCACTTCGACCATTAGATCTTCTGAGACATCTACCCACGCACGGGCCAACGTCGCTTCTTCCTCCGGTGTCTAATTCTTGGAAGGTGGATTTCCCTTTTTTCTTGGGTTCCGGTTGACGTCAAATCTCTTTCGTCTTGAAATCTGTTTCAGGTACGACTTCGGGTTGAGAGTGAGTTTCGAATTGGGTTTAGGTTTGGAATTGAAACTGGAATTACGAGTCAGGAAGGTTGTCAAATCCTCCGGTTGGGATTGTACTTGAGATTGGAATTGAAATTGGGGTTGAGATTGAGTTTACGATTAAAATTGTGGTTAGATATGGATATTATATGGGTAGTATGCACCGGGATAATGGTAACTAGGAGGTGAATAAATATGACGATCATTTTAATTTTGGATAAAAGTATGTGATGAATGTGAGATTATGTTTGTGTTTTGAGTATTTTTCTTGCTAGTTCTGGAGATTTTGGGTTGGAAGAGGAAGTTATTTTTTCACAAATATGAAGAATGTTTGAGTGAAAATGGAATATTGTAGTATGATATAAAATAAGGTAGTGAATGATTTATATATGTTGAAAAGTGGGTAAATTTTTATTATTTAAGAAAAACGGTAATATTTAAAAAGACACATGTGGAAAATTTTGAATTTGCAAATTAGCTCTTTTTCACTCATCGGTAGAAGTTCATTGAGTTTGGTCATCGAACTCGACATACCGAGTTCGTGACGTGGTGTATACCGAGGCCAGCTCAGATGTGACGAGTGCCATCGGACTCCACTATGTATAAGTTAATAAGAAAGGACTATTTAATATTTAAGAGTAACGTTTAAAAAAAAGTGTTGGTTATAGTCATTTTTCTTTGTCAATTATCCTTAAATTAAACTTGTAGGTGCCACCAAGTCAACCAATTAGGTTGCACGTGTTGATTGGGTTTTGAGGAATTGTGACATGAAATGAAATGTAACTAACGGTGTTTATCAGTTTATGATAGCGTAAACGAAGGGCATACCACCATACAGATTACAGACTCCAAACTAAAAGTTTATTTTATTATTAATATCTATCTACACCAACTCTCTCTCTCTCTCTCTCTCTCTCTCTAACCTACAGACAATCTGAGGTTTCAAGAACCGACGGATTGATCTCTAGGGCACAACACAAATAACATCAAATTTGTGGTCTACCCAACTCCAGGATATGATGCAATCATCCCACACACACTCAAGATTCCACCCCTCTTCTTAATTCTATATAATAGCGCAATAATCTTTTTCCTTTTCGTTCTTCGTGGGCGTAAATCCCAAATATCGGTGCTTTTTCGGCTCCTGAACCATCTGCCTTTTTTTTGGTCCAAGGTACATCTCTTTCGATTTTAGGGTTCTTCGACATTTCATTTCTGTATATATATGTTTAGTGATGATCCGTGTATTCTTTTGAAATCACGGGAGAATATTGACGACTGGATTTTTCGGAATCATACGGTGAAATTGCGATCCCCATTTTCCTGCTCATCCCTTGGGTTTTGGTTAGGGAAGTTTGTATGGTTTATATATTAGTTGAATTGGTTGGTTTCCTTGATTATTTATCAAACACTGCAATATCTTCACCTCTTGTATGAATCAATAATAATCGCGAGAAAACATTCTTCATAAAAAAATTATCAGCTTTTTCTTTTTGGTGGTAATAGATCAGAAACTTGAGCAGGTTTAAGGTCTTATGTAGAATAGAATAACTGAAAACTCTTTTCTTAAAACAAGAGATAGATTTTGGGTTTTACATTGATTAAGAAAGAATATTTTGAATGATTTTGGTTGTAATCTGCAGACATGGATGGCAGTGGCAGATCAGCCGTTCAACCTTTTGAGCCACCAGGGATATGCGGTCTATGCCATAGAATACTTCCATTAGAGAATGACGCCATTGACCTTGAATCCATCAGTATATGTGGGGACTGTAAATTTCTATTTCTAGAAGATGGTGACACCCCACCTCAACACATTCAACGAAGAACTCCTAGAGTAAGAAGAACAAGATACAACAACAGTTCAGAATCAATCGAAAACATCTTCTCTCACCAGTTTTCAAACATGATCAATCAAGCAAATACAAGACACTCACACAACCCCCCTCTTGTTCCTGTTTCTGACCTAGATAATCAATCCATAGACAGTGTTCATACAAGCTCCCGTGGATCAAGAAGATGGAGGAGAGTTGTTTCAGATACAGAAAGTGATGGTTTTGATTCTGTTTATGGAGAAAGTGATGCAATCTCATATGGTGTTTATGGAGGTGATTCAGATGCTTCTGTAGATGTTCATAGCTTTCTTGGTGATAGTGATACTGATATTGACCCTATGCATGCTGGTTTGAATCAATGGAGCTCAGATGATGAATGGGAAGAGATTGAAGATGACAACAACAACAACAACAATAACAATAACAATAACAATACACTCGGATCTTTAATAGCTAGAGTTCATCTCCAAAGATCATTGGAATCGGATAATGAGAATGCAGTTCATGTAAGAATAAGTGAAAGGAGACAAAGACAAGTTAACATTGTGGAACAAGAAGGGCATTTTGGGGATTACCTTGATGCTAGAAGTTTTGAGGAGCTGGTGGAGAGGCTAGCGGAGGCGGATAATTCAAGAAGAGGGGCGCCTCCTGCTGCGGTTTCTTTTGTGGAGAATCTTGAAAAGGTGGTGGTGGTGGAGAAAGGGGAGTATGATGGGGTGGTGTGTGCGGTTTGTAAGGAGAGTTTTTGTGTGGGTGGTGTGGTGAATCGGCTTCCTTGTTTTCATGTTTACCATGGTGGCTGTATTAAACCATGGTTAAGTTCACGGAATTCTTGTCCTTTGTGTCGGTTTGAGCTTCCAACTGATGACATGGAGTATGAGAACAGGAAAGAAAGGGTTGTGGAAATGCAACGGGAGGAGGAGGAGGAAGAAGAAGAAGAGGAAGAGGAGGGGGGAAGGGCGGAATCGTCTTTTGAAGGTTTGGAATTGGTGAATGATGAGAGTGGAAGTGAAAGAGGAAGAGGGAGATGGTTTTTTGTTGCGAGTTTGGTGGGAATTGGTCTTGCATTGTGGTTAGGGAATCCGGGAGCTATTCGGGATTCTGGTTCTGGTCAAAGGGGGAATAGGAATAGGAGATGGTGGTCTTTGTTTTAGGTTATATGAGATTTGTGAGCGACTAATAATGACTTTGGTGGAGTTGGAATTGGAATTGGAAAAATTTGGTTTTGGGGTGTTTGTTGTTGTTATTTGATGTAATAGTTAATGAATGATCGAGGATTGAGGCTAGTAGCATTTGTACAGAATTTTTGCTTACGATTTGGAATTGGATTGTGAAGGTTTAATCATATAATGTTTGATTATATTCATTTTATGTGGTGATCCAAATGACCTTTGATGTATGCTTACCAATATTTTTTGAAAGAAAAAAAAAGTTTATCCTTTTGGTAACTTGAAAAAACTAAGAATACATGGAACACGTGATTCTAATTGAATATAAATATGATAAATACTTCCATCACACAATCGTTGAAACTGAATTGTCTAAAAAATATATATAATCATTCTAACATCAAGATTAGCAACATCCATAGCCAGCTTTTGAACAAAGAATGAAATCCTTCATCTCTCTTTCTCCCTCTCTCTCTGGATTTGTCTTGATAGATACAAACACACGAATCATCCCACTTCATATAATAATAATTGGCACTCACATTCGCATGCTTGTGATCCTTGAAATCATTCATAGTTTCATACCAAACATCCAGCTGTTTTCTTCTTCTTCAAGTTTCAGAAAATAGAGTGTTCTAGAAAAGGATGTTGAGATACAAAACAATCCAACCTGCCATTGAGATTATGGCAAATATATGAACCCAAAACAAAATAGCTGCAGCTTCCCTCCCACACCCTCTTAAACTCGCAACAGCACCTGTATACACACATACATAAGAACAAAGTTTGACTTTTTTTTTAATTGGGTCAAAAGAATCAAGAAATGAAGATTTTGTTGCCTGATAAAACAGATGTGGGCATGGAATGCTGTAAAAGAAGGATGAATCTGAACATTTTGTCATCAGGTGGAAGCAATCCAAGTTTATCAGCCAATGTCACAATCCCCAATCCAGCTGGTGGAACTAAAACTAATCTCCCAAATATAATTGCAGCTGTTGTTTTTAACCCTAATTTTGAACTCCCGGGTCCTGAATTTCAATTTCATTTTCCAATTTAATTATTTACAAATCTCAGGAAAGTAGTAATTAATATCATATATGCCCTTTAAAAAAGTACTAGTAGTAAACTTACCATCTGTCAGATTGCCACCTAATGCTAACAAAATGCAAGGAATCATAGCATCCCTGATTACAAAAAGAATAGTGTTTTTACTTTTTTATCATGTAGTCATCATATAAAGATTGTAAAATAATTATAATAAAAAAGAAACATACCCAAGAATCAAGCAGCTGTCAGTGAAGAAGTAAAGTGGTGCATCAGGTGTGAAGATCAACCCTTTTAAAAATGGTATACACCCAATGAATATAGCCAGTATCTACAACAAAACAAAGAATTATATATAAATATATAAAAAAAAATGGTTTAAATAACAGAAAGTCATGTTATAAAATGATATTATTATCACATACAGATGCAATGATAGGAGGTTGGAGTATTTGCTTCAGCTTCAACTTGTCATACAGAAACTTCATGAATTGTTTTATCTGTTATAAAAAACACCCATTTATGTCGCTAATTAAAATCATCATGTGAATTAAAGAAAAAGTAATAATAATAATTGGTGATATTCATTTCTGACCTTTCCATCTTTGGGAGTATCTTGATCTATGGATTCAGGCTCATGAGTGAGAAGAGGAACTTCTTCAGGGGGATTGAGATTGGTGTTGGTGTTATTTTTTGGAGGATTTTTAATAGGAAGATTTTTAGTATCTTCAATCTCAAAAGAACCTCCAGGAGGTGGTGCAAGCATTTGAAATACATATGTGTAAAGAACAATAGCACCCACCTATATACATCAATTATTTTATAATAAATACTTGTAGTAAAATACATGTGATTTTATATAATTATATAACATACCCATTGTCCAAAGGAAATGTAGGCATTTCCATCACGCGTGCATTTAGCAGAATCTCCAAAAGGGTTTGATTTATCACGACATAAAGCTGCAATTAGAACAAGTGGCACATTCCCAATATTTCCTGTGTTGTGTTCCAATAATAATATTATGAATTTATGATTATTGTTGTAATTAGAAATTAATAAAGTTTTAACTTTTACTTACCTATGCCAATGTGAATAATGGTAAATTTGAAGTATGGGTATGGTGGACGAACAATGCATGCTACAAGTAATCCTATAAGTGAACCCGATACTGTAGCCAAAATCACATTAAAAGGGATAAACCACCTGTAAAACAATAAACACATGCTTGTTATACTGATACATAACTTTATTTCTCATATAAATTAAACAAATTATAAATGAGAATTTTACCATTCGATCATTTTTTCAAAGGTGATGGCTTGTCCGAGTTGAGAGAATATCAAACATGGTAGCAGAAGTGAGAACACCAACTGCATCAAACACAAATTATCAGTTTAATCTTTACATACAAACACACACACACACACACACACAACACTTTTATTTGGGTTTGGATTTGATGAGATAAAGATTTAACAGTAACCAAAACAATAGATTGACTTGGGAAAATATCTTGTAAAGATTAGATCGAAAGCTACTTCTGAATTCTGATTGAAGAATGAAGATCGATCAAATTGCAAGAGAAAGAAAAGGAGTTCATAGTTTTTACCCCATTCAAGAGCTTCCTTCCGCTTGCAGGCAAAATGTTAACATACTTGGAAGCCATAAGAAACCCCAAGAAGCACATCGTGAAAACTTTGGCTATAGGTAGAACCGCGATCTTGATGGATCCTAACAGCGATTCTCCTCCCCCTTGGGTATCCATTAAAATCTCTGACAATAATCGATGCATTCTGTTCCGATACCTAAGTATCCAATTGAGCAGGAATCGGAGAAGATTGGTGGCGATTTCTATCCAACTTGCTCAAGTAGAAAAGCTTGTTGGAAGCCAACCTTAAGAATTCTCCCAAATCTTTCACTCTGCGCTAAAATTCAACAGAACGTACATGTCAAATTCAGCAAAAACCCAAATCTATCATGGTTGTGAGTCTATGAGATGAGATGAGAGACTTGATTCAGTCGACGAAACACTAAAAAGTCAATACCCATAAACGACATAAAAGTTACTCCACTAAGATATACAACGTAAAAAGGAGGTAAATCGAGTAATTAAAACGCAATACACTGAAAAGAGATTCAAAACCGACAATCAAGGAAACAGAATAAAACCCAGATAGAATTCGATGGCGTACATCATGATCAACATTAAGTAACATTCACTCATGTAATTCAAACAATTCGCACCTAAGCGATTTATAATGGGTTTAATTCCGCATCGAATCGAATATCAATAAAAGAGATGAAAGAGGTGGAGGAGATCTATACCAAGAGATCAATGTAATGCTTTTGATAGTGGTTGGAATTATCGTGAACAGTGTCACGACCTGCGAATATAAAACTTCAAAACTAGAGGGCTTGAATTGAATCGATGCTCTTATCTAATATCTTATATATGCCCGACAAAAGAGAGTTATAGTTGCTGTAAAACACTATAAAACTCCTAATTTGGTACGATAACCGCTTCTAGGTTTTCGTAAGTCGACCGAACTTTCTGCTTTAGAATCAGACCATGATAAGGACTGATTGCAAGCTCTCAATCGCCTTGCTTTTCTTCTCTGCAAAACTGTTTCGTGTACACGAGGAGATTTACTAGCCTAACTAATTTTCCTTTATCACCCTTTAACTTTTGGATATCTACAAAATATCCCCTTGTGACTCAAAGGTTATTTTGGATTAATTAATGGTTTATTACTTTATTTGGTGTCCAAATTCAATGAATATATACGAAAATATGTTTATAAACTAAATCCTTAATATTATGGTTTTGATAACTATAATCATGACTTATATTTATCCATGGTAAAATGTTTAATATTTATCCTAATTTCAAATTTGAAGTAAATCTAATTTTTTTAACCATACGTTAACGTTTTATCATATTTTAAAAGTAGTTTGTTGAATCAATCGTAAGCAAATAAGCAATCGAATATGCATTGAAGTAGAGAGGTGATTAAAATAAACAAACATATTATAATTATAATGTTTGTTAATAATGTATCAATAATTGCATTTTATTATTTTTGAATTATTGTTATAAACTACGTTTATAAATTTTAATAATAAAAATATATAAAAGTCAGATTCGTAGTAAGAGAATATTCTTTATGGTGTTTATTTTAATTGTTGTCGTGATTAATGGAGGGGAAGGTAAATATTTGGCATTTAGTATATAGTATAGGGAGCAGAAGTGAAAATTTAACAAAATACAAGAGGTGGCATAAGGCTTTTCCTTCTAGTCCTAATCGTACGGACTCTGCAGGCTGGGGAATGGGGACGCCGTCTTCTTCAAGCACGTGTCCTTCTACTTTACGTTAAAAAAATATATTTACAAAAAAATATAGGGGAAAATACAAAACTAGTTTTTTTTTCCTAATTAGTAATTACTTATCAAAAAATAACCAAAAAAACTCACTTAGCCAAAAATAGCCCACAAAAGAGTAGTCAACATTCGGTTGACTACGGTCAACAGGGGATGACTACGGTCAACGCCCGTTGACTACTCTTTTCCCCTAATAGGCTACTGTTTCAAGGGGCCGTTTACTTTTTCGTGCCCCATTAGCCCAAAGTATATAATGAATTTTTTTTTCAGATTAGGTCATTTTCCTATTGTTTTCTTTTGTTAGACTACGTTTTTCTCTCAATGGAGCACCCGAAGAACAATCAGGTTTGTCTACTTTTCTTAAAATTTTTACCGTGTTTGTGATTAGGAGTAGGTTTTGTTTATGGGGATAAATTTTTTTTTGAAAA